GACGTAACCCAAATGAAAATTTAAGTTACGTCTAACGGAACCCGAAATAAAACTTAAAGTTACGTCCTGTGCAACCTACGCGTATGTTTCGCTTTACGGCCGATACATGACGTGAATACAACAATATCGCGAATTATTACTGCGTTACGTCCGATGCAGCATTCGTGAATCGGTTAAAATCTCAACTCTATCCGTACCTTCAGCTTTGTTGAGAAAGCTGGAGTGTGTTCCTAGCACACCGAGGCTGCTGGGGCTTTGTCAATTCGATGCCCCCCGTCACGTATACATTCTTTTTTTCTTCTCTTTTTTACCCTCCTTTATAACAATTTATTAGATTTTTTTTCGATACAAAGGCACTTCTTGCTATCTCTGCCGCGTTTGTTACACCTGCTTGCAGCCCTTGCTGGCTCGGCTGAGAACAAAGTTGATACGGCTAAAGTTCAATGGTCTATTGTCAATCTCACATCCGGGCGGCCCCCTCAAGACAGCTCTTTAAGACACCCTCGAAGAAAACACTGCCAAAGCTAGTGCGCGTGGCGACTTGAGTGGTAAGTGAACACTGGGCCAGTTTTTCACAAGTCTCCCGGAAACTCTGCCGCTGTAAATAGCACACTCGTATCACATTATCATTCTAGCTCTGTTAATAATTGACTCGAACGTCCGCTATTCTCAGAAAGCTTCGCAAGAAATCGTCTTAAAGAAGAAAAGAGCATAGGGCAAACACGAGAAAGGAAAAAAAGAAATAATGTGACGGGCATCTGTACCTGGAGGTAGAGGCGGAGTTGCGATTTTAACCAATTAACGAATGCTGCATCGGACGTAACGTAGGAATAATTCACGATATGTTTGTGTTTACGTCATGTATGGGCCGTAAAGCGTAACATTCCTAAAGGTTGCGTAGGTTACACAGAACGTAACTTCAACTTTTATTTCCGTCAGACGTTACTTTCATTTTCATCTCGGGTTTCGTTGGACGTAACTCGAAACCTTGGGGTAAAGTTGCGTCGGACGTAACTTTAGTTTTTATTTCGAGTTCCGTCGGACGTAACTTTAAAGGCTGGTTCAGACATGCAAAACGAGCGCGATGCGTCCGTTGCAACAGGAGCGACCGGAACGACCGCTCTGCGCCGCGCGTACACACACCTGCAACCACTGCAACAAGCGCAGCGGGTCGGCAGCACGGCGACCGCTTCTACGCCACCGTCAGCAGTTTCAGCGGCGCCCCTAAAAAAGGGACGCACTGCCACTCGATACCGTAACAGAGTATAGACAGACAGATTTCTGTAACCTAAAGCTTTATTAATATTTTTTTTCATGATAGGCTTGCAGGGTACAATGGACGAAAAAAAAAAAGAAAAGAAAACGATGCAGTACGCCGTCTTGGACGATCACGACTCTCATACACGACTTTGCCAATAGTAAAAATCTCGCCACACGCCTTTTTGTACGATTATAAAAGACGATGTAATCTCATCAGTGTGTTAGCAACGTAGAAATATGATTTCGTGATCAGATAGACGTTGCGAGAGTTCAGGATAGCTAACACTAAAAACATTTCTCCGGTGATGAAAGCGCGTGAAATTCGCATCCTTTGCACGGTACGCGCCAGTAATACCTTGAACTTGAGCACACGCATAAAATGCGCCAAATAAGAAATCCGGGCGATGTTCGAGGACACAAATGCTTAGAAAGCACCACTGTAGTCGAAGTAAACAAACACGACGGCACGGGCGTTTCTGCTGTCTTGAGAGTGCCGCCACGATATCGCTGCACGATCTTCCCTTCTAATGCGTGCTAGGTTATCATAGGGACACACGACGAAAATTCACAGTCAAGGATAGCGCTTTTACGCGGAACGATGAGCTTTCACCACGCCGTCCACGTCGACGATCACCACCGACGCCATGTTTCCAAACAGAAGGAGCCGGCCCTCGACCAGCATGCAACGCGCGCGACCCATTCTCCTCGACTTGTGATTGGTCTGTCGTTGGGGTTGTTTCGGTTGTTTCCAAAGCAGCGGGGAAAGTTGAGCTCGCTCCAACTCCTTGCGTAGGGAACGACACGTGCGTGCGTCCCTCCGTTGCTATGGCAACTGACGGTTGCAGACTCTTGCAACGGTCATTTCGGTTGTTCCGGTTGTTCCGGTCGCTACGGACGCATGTGTGTGAACGGGCCTTAATTTTCACATTGGGTTACGTCGGACGTAACTTGAAACCTTGGGGTAAAGTTACATCGGACTTAGAGCGCGAAACACATATGTACGACGAAACCGTCCGATCCGACGTCCGATCAGGCAATACGACGGTCGGATGCTGCTTGTTTGGTCGTGTCGCTATACGGCGGAACGGCGTTGCGGCATGCGATGGACTGTCCAGAGGTGGTTGTGGTGGTCGGATGGCCGCAGCCAATCGCAGGTAGCGGGGACGTCGTGAGGGCGTCACGTTTTGGGGAGCGGGCTGGCTCCGCCCAAGAGATCCAAGCGCGCCAGCGGAGGTCCGCGTTCACAGATCTCTGGTCCTAGATTGACGGTTTAACTCACACGAGCGAAGTTAGGAGCTTGTTCTCGCTCGCGCGTGCATTCTTTGCCCGGGCCATCTTTCTCGAATGGGTCAGCGGGATCCACGCGTCCGGCTTCCCGTCGCCCGTCCCGCTTTCTTATTCGTCCCCTTCGACCCAGTATGTCATCATGACGTTCGCGCTAGCTGTGCTGTCATTGGCTGGACGCATCCGACGATCCGTCCGCCGTGCGAAACTATCTGGCGCGTTGGACGCACGTCGGATCGCCGATCCGACGTCTGATGCGACCAAATTTTTCGGATCAGGCTGTCGTATTGTCAGATCGGACGTCGGATCGGATGGTTTTTTCGCGCATGTGTCTCGCGCTTAACTCTAATTCTTATTTTAGGTTCCATCGGACGTAACACTAGACACTGCGTTGTTCTATTACGACGGCCGCCATGTGGAATTAAGACGTATATATTTGGGTTGGGGCAAAATAGCAGATCACTTCATTTGCCAATCGTAAGACGCTAGGGTTCAAGGGAATCGTGCCACTATAGTCGGCGACAGGTTAAGAACCCAGGGTGAAGAAAAGGAGAGGAGAAAGCAGATGGCATGCTGGAGAAGAGAGAAAAATAAAATCTAAAAGCTAAAAAAAAAGAGATGTATCTACATTGAGTTTTTTCTTCACTCTGAGTGGGGACCAGCGACTACGAGCCCTCTGCTCCATTCTCGTGACTCAACTTTCAAGCGTACAAACCATGTCTAGGGGGTATTGCTCAAACGCATCGTGTGACTCTCCAGGTGGACATTCGTGTTCAAATAAACCATATCACCAGGTGGCGCTTTAGAGTCCCAGGCAAAGGTAAAGTATGTTCTTGTGCTCTGAGCATAACTAATTGGACACAATGCCCTAGCAAATCATAACCAGCTATACTCGGGGTCAGATAAAAAAAAAATGAAATTTCGCGCTTGTTCATACGCTGCGAAAAGTAGTTCTACGGAGATTCAGTTGCCGGAAAAAGGATATATGCTTTCCGAGTTCAAAAAGTGGGTGTTTTTCTTTTTATATAAAATAAATTACTTCTCTTTAATAGAATCTTAAATCTACACACAAATGAGGCGATTAGCAACGCTGGCAAGGAACGGAACCTTTTTTATCATGATTCCCGAGGTGAAAACATACTGGAGCTAATGTAACTTACTGCAACATTCATACAGTTGTACACAACTTACAAGCCACTTTGATCCACATTTTTTTTTTTGCTTTTGTTTAAATTTTGCGGTTAACGTTGTTCGCTTTTGTGTTCCGAATGAGATTTGATATTACAGCGTTGTTTATATCAAAAGAAAGAGCGAAAATACGTAAAGTGCGAAGCAAGCAACTATAGCGTGTCATTCATTCATCCATAAATACTTTCGCAGTGTACAAATCGACTGTCGCGAAAGCTAAAAAAAACAATTTTATCAGAACGACCTTGCCGCTCTTCTCAAAAGCACCCATCAGAAATTTTGGCAAATAATAAATCCCCACTATCGTAAACCGGTTTCTTTGGTAAATGACGACGGAATTAAACTCGCTGATGATGATGCCGTTGAAAAGCTTTATAGTGAATTCTCCGCTGTATTTAACAGTAGCGTCATCGCGTCATTACCAGATACTGTCAACCACATCATTTACACAAATCATCCAATTACTTTCGCTAAAGACGGCATTAGCAAGTTGATAGGTACCATTTAAGATCTTATCATCACGAGGGGCTGACGACTTAAGCAGTAAAATGCCAAAGATTATTAAACCTCTGTCAACTGTTTTTCAAACTTTTTTTGTTCCAACAGTCCTTAGATAATGGCGCTATTCCTGACGACTGGAGGGATGCGCGCTCCCCTCAAAAGTGCCAATTCATATCATTAACTGCTGTTTATTGTAAACTCATTCAACATGTCATTCATTACCAAGTTATTGAGTTTTTAGAACAAAATCATATAGTTTTTTCTAACCACCATGGCTTCAGAAAACATCGTTCCTGCGAAACGCAGCTTGCCGCTTTTAGCCATGACATTCCTATTTCCCTACCGCTCCTCGAGTTGAATCCATCTTTCTCGATTTTTCCAAAGCTTTCGATCGTTTTTCTCGTAAACTTCTACTAACAAAACTGTCCACACTTTCCCTTGATTCTTCCGTTCTAGCATGGATTGAAAATGTTCTCTCCTATCGAACCCAGCACGTGCACGTCAACAACTTCCGTTCCCGAAGCGCTCCTGTAACCTCTGGCATACCGCAAGGATCTGTTCTTGGACCCTTGCTTTTTCTTCTGTACGTTAAGGATTTTCCCCTTTCGCTATCCTCTACGGTCCGCCTGTTTGCCGATGACTGCGGGATCTACAGACCCATCGCTAGCACAAATGATCAGTAATCTGCAGACTTGTCTTGACCGAAGTAACGCATGGTGTTCAAAGTGGAAAATGCTTTTAAACGTTTCTTAATCTAAATGCTTTTTTTTTTTTTAACTCGCCAACATATTTATGCTTCCTGCTTTATTGGCAACCTTAATTTAGATTCCGCCTCAGCTCACAAATATCTTGGCGTTCACTTACCTCACGACCTTTACTGGAAAACTTATGAACAGCATCATTCCCTATTCTAACCGCACTCTTGGTTTTCTATACCGCAGTCTTCGTCCGGAGTCCTCATTTGTTAAACGCCTCGCGTACGTCACGTTAGTACGCCCAAAATTAGAATTTGCATCACCAGTCTGGGACTCTCATCTTAAATACCTTGCATCTGACATGGAGCCACTTCAGAACCATGCACAGCTCGCTTTATAACGTCTGAGTACTCTAGGTTCTCTCCCGTCACTGAACTTTAAAAAAACAAAAAAAAAATCTTGTCTTGGACTTGTATATGTTCACGCGGGCGTAGTGCTCAATTGTGTCTATTTCCCAGGTTTTATTACGATGACCACCTTCCTACATAGCTCATTCATCTTGCCACCTCATCGCATTCTCGCTCGTGCTGATCACCCTGCAAAAGTTGGCCTTCTTTTTAACCGATAAATAGCATTCTTTAAATTATTTAATTAATTTTTCCCAGCAACAGCTGTGGACTTGAATGGCCGGCCTGAATTCATCGTTTCACTCAAGACATCCACTCCTTCCGAAAATTGTTAACACCACATTTTCTGTAAACCAACTTGTGTAATACCCTGACTCTAGGGTTCTTAATGTATTTAAATAAATAAATATATCCATACTCCATGCCGTACACAAAAAGCCCTGCTTTTTAAATAGGTGAGGAATGCCTGAATTTTGAATAAGATCTAAGCGTCACCTGCTCAACTGGCTAAGATTGTCAACAAACCAGGATGACTATCTTCGACTGGACAGGATGAAAGATTTGCGTCCTGCATTTTCAGCTCCGCTACCCTCCAGCGATGCTGATCATGCTGGTCATTGTGGCACCTGCGGCTCTGCTGCTCATGGCCTCTTCAGCAGCGGCAACGCCTATCATGAGCTACGCACTTGCTCCACGATGTGCAGGTAGGTACACAGTGGTTCCATAATGCATTACATATGTATGTACATATTCGCAGAATAAAGGAAATGGTAGTGACAGATCTGATATCGTATACATGCGCCTTTGTGTTTGTCACTGATGCTGAAGTTTCAAATGTTGAGTCTTCTGTTGTATCAACTCGAGCGCTTTGTATGCTCCACTCCTTTTGCCAACCTCTTCTTGTGTGGGGCTTTCGTCTCTTTTCTCGGTAGTAGTAGTAGTAGTAAACAATATTTATTTGCCCAAGCATGGGTTAATGACTGAACGGGAGACCCCTAGGGTCGCCCCGCTAGCCACCCCTCAGACGGCGGCCTGAACCCTCTGGGTTTTGGCCTCTGGGCTCTCCAAAAGTGCTGTTCTATTTGGCACTGTTTCGTGTTAAAATAACCATGTCCCGTAATTATGTTTGAGGTACAATAACCTGAGTGGGACTATAATTTAAATTTCCCTTGAAAGTAATTTGACTATAACTGACGTGACTGTACCAGTGCTTTCCCCGAGTGTTTTGAGGCCGCCTGCTCTGTCGCAACGACTATAGTACTAACCAGTTTGTCGCATCAAGACTGATATAGCGAACATTTTGATATAGAGAAGATACTGATATAGCGAAGATACTTATATAGCGAAGAAACTTATATGGCGAAGATACTGATATAGTAAAAAACTGATACAAAAAGAATTAAGCGAAGATACTGATATATGAAGACACTAATATACAAAAAAAATATTTCTAAAAAGAAAAAAAAAAAACGGCTTTTACTTTTTGAGAAGTTGTAGCGTGCGTCATTTAGAGGGTGAGCAAGTTAACGATGAACATCTCTACTCTATCGCAGACTCTCACAACTACAAGGTCGTGTGCTACTACGGCTCGTGGGCGGTTTACCGGCCGGGAGACGGCAAGTACCCCGTGGAGAACATCGACCCGCACCTCTGCACCCATCTGGTGTACGCGTTCGCGGGCCTGAGCAGCGACCACAAAATTCGCAGCCTGGACTCCTGGAACGACCTCGAGGAGAACAACGGCAAAGGTAAGATTCGCTATAGGCTTATAGCGTGTCTATAAGACACGCTATAAGCGTGTCACAAAATGAAAGCTTCACATAGCAACGGGGTTAGAAAGCATTTTATTACACTGGCAAAATATTATGCCGCTAAATCATCGGTATGAAATAGCACGAGGTATGCGTAGAAAACGTCTACAGGCTCCTTGCACTGACGTCACATCGCATACTTTTGACAACCATGTAAAAGGAGGAGAGGGAAGCTGGTTTTGTAATAATTTTGAGTGACAGGTTAATCTTCTATAATCTTCTGGGAGGAGAATAGCGACGTCTGTGCATATCCGGGAGGCACGAAGTAGGATTCTGATTAGAGGGGAGCTCCTTCTTGCCCTCGTCTCTGGTGGTCATAGGAGCGTCCTTTGAAGGCCTTCATGTGCAAGCCACGTATCGAAAAAAGATCGTTTCAAGTCGAAAACATTGAGCCACGCAGTTATTGCTGTAGAAATGCCTATTTTATGCAGAATTACTTCCACAAAATGGATAAACACGCAGTGCGATTAGACACAGCAAAACGAATCACAGTAAAATCAGGTAGACGTAGTCAAGGCGGACACAGCTAGACAAGTGTTGCTTACAACCATATAAGCGGTGTTAACGCATGCAGTCACTGAATTCTTGCGTTATACCCCGGCCACATAGCAAAATAAATGTAATTTCGATCGTATGACATTATGGGGTCGGCAAATCAGCTCGCGACGCTCGTATAGTTACCCAGGATCGCGAGCTAATCCAGTCCTATATCATTTGAAGAAAATATAATAACTTTTCCGTGTGGCAGTGGTACTAAACTTACTATTTACAGTCAACTAATTTGCTTCTCCCGAAGAGCTCGAGCTGCCTTAGAACAAAATGAAGCTTACTTTCTAGGCAATATTACTATTAACTTAATACAGTCAGGATTCTAGTCTAAACGCGGTGAAGACAATAAAAAAATTAGTGTAAACACGTAGGCACAAACAGCGCACATAAACTTGTTATTCGCCTTCCAGTGAAAACTTGAATGTTACCAAGAATATTTACAAATTTCGACGCAATTGCAAACGGATACCGACGAAGAACGAGATTCCATTCTATTACAGGTAAAAGTAGCCGAATGTAAGCATTTTACTCGTGTCCTACACGACAAAACCCGTAAATAAGTTGCTGCTCACCTCTCCATCCCCTACGTTCCGCAATATCCTTCACGACAAAAACTTTGAACACGAACTCGAAGAAGTTGAAGAGAAAGACAGACGGTTCGGGTCACCAATGTGGAGAAAGACAGACGAAAAGCGACTCCGTCTGACGCATCCCAAAATCGAACTGGTCTGGCTCTTTAATTGCACGCGATCTTCTATTTCCAGTGGCTATCGCCACAAAGTCTATCCTTTCGACGAGGGAGAGGTCTATCGATAACCGGCCAGTGTAAAGCCCGGTTCACACAGTTGCGTTTGACTGCGTTTGACTGCGTTGCGGCAGCGAGACACCAGGACATTCCTGTTGGTTATATCGCGTGCCAAGATGATTCTTTGAATTGGATTCCACGCTTTATACGAAGCACAGATGTGCCGGTGACTCGCTTTTGCTTCTCGCCGCAACGCAGTCAAACGCACTCAAACGCAAGTGTCTGAACCGGCCTTCATCGTTGACTAGTTACCGGACATGTCACTCACACCGTAGCAAGACGTGTTCCGCGAATCCACGTAAATGGCGTATGTATCAAGAAGAGTAGTAAGTTGGGCGAGTTGGTAAACGTTGAACATGGTCGAAATCGCACACAAAGAGACGAGGACAAACGAAGAAGGAACACAGAAAACCGACAGGCGCGCACTCACAACTCTAGTATATTAAGTGAAGAAGAGAAAGATGAAGCACTATTTTTTGCAGGGGACAACGTCACCAGGAGGAAACAGATCATCCGCAGTCAAGTGATCGCAAGAAGGCAACTTCTTTTTCGCTCAAAGCTACCGACGGCTGACTAACGCAGCGATCGGTCAGGCTCAAGATGGTGAACGCCTCGAGCACCTCGCGCGTTTGTTTTTCTTTAAAGCGGCCAATGATTGATGTTTTTTTCTAAAGCTGGTGTGCACATACAGGTTTTACAGTGCACTGAAAGGTGACCTCCTACATTGGATGTTAAAGAAAGTTTATGCTCTCGTAGCCGGTCATTCGGACACCGTCCCGTCTGTCCAACATAGCATCTTCCACATGAAAGAGGAATGCTATATACAACGCCCGATGAACAGGGAAGAAATGGCCGCACATGTTTTTTTGTGGCACGTGTTTTTTTGATAATTTTGCCGCCTTTTCACGAACCTTAGAACAAATTTGTCGCATTTTCTTAGGGGCTGACATATTAGAAAAAAAACGGGTGGTGGTTATGCCATACCTACACAAAATATCGCATAACCTAAAACAAGTGTCCAGCAGGTATGGTGTGCCCGTAGTACTATCAGCCCCTAAGAAAATGCGACAAATTTTGTCTAAGGGTCGTGAAGAGGAGGAAAAATTATCAAAAAACACGTGCCACAAAAAACATGTGCGGCCATTTGTTCCCTGTTCATCGGGGTTTGTATATAGCATTCCTCTTTCATGTGGAAGATGCTATGTTGGACAGACGGGACGGTGTCTGAATGACCGGCTACGAGAGCATAAACTTTCTTTAACATCCAATGTAGGAGGTCACCTTTCGGTGCACTGTAAAACCTGTATGTGCACACCATCTTTAGAAAAAAAAAACATCAACCATTGGCCGCTTTAAAGAAAAACAAACGTGCGAGGTGCTCGAGGCGTTCACCATCTTGAGCCTGACCGATCGCTGCGTTAGTCAGCCGTCGGTAGCTTTGAGCGAAAAAGAAGTTGCCTTCTTGCGACCATTTGACTGCGGACGATCTGTTTTCCCTGGTGACGTTGTCCCCTGTAAAAAATAGTGCTTCATCATTCTCTTCTTCACTTAATATACTAGAGTTGTGAGTGCGCGCCTGTCTGTGTTCTGTGTTGGGGGATCGGTGGCCGAGTGGGCTAAAGCGCACACCCAGCTCGACGCCCGTGGAGCGAAAGCTCGCGCTGCAGAACCCAGGGATCCTGGGTTCGAGCCCCACCCCTACCCGTTTCGATCTGGATGAGCATCGTACCGGCGTGCGGTCGTGTATCACTACTGCGTGGTGCACGTTAAAGACCCCAGGCTAGCGGTTGTACCGCACTGGCTAAATTGCTCATCTACAGTGGGTAACAATGTCGCCATGTCCTGGCAGACTAAACTCCTGCTGTATAAACATCTAACGACTAATTTTTTTTTGTTGTATTCTGTGTTTCTTCCTCGTTTGTCCTCATCTCTCTTTGTGCGCGATTTTAACCATGTTCAATAGTATCAAGAAAACACAAAACAAACCACACACGAGGGCAGCGGCAGCAGTATGGGTTGAAAGCCTTAATGTTGTCGACCCATCTCCTGCTCGTGTGCGCTCCCTGCGGTGATGACTGAATTGTTTTTGGTTCCCTTCTCTTCTGAAATGTCTCAGCGTTTGTTTTCAAACAGTCTGCAGCTCACACACAGCGTAAATTTGCCAGAAATGCGAGCCCATATGGAGGAAGAAAATGTTCCACCGGAGCCGGTTCCTTCGAAAACTGTGGGGAGCTGCGGGACTGCACGCAGTCCCGCGGTTACGGGGATAATCATAAATATAAATTTGGTACTTTCAACCTTGGTAACGCGTTGTATATTACGTTGGTATTATATATATATATTACATTATACAAGACTACGCATTTAAAAGGTATATTAATGTCGGATTAATGCGCGCGAACAAACCATGTGACCTGTCTAAGCAGACGACGCGACCGGGGTTAAGAGAACCAGAGAAGACGCCTTTTCTCGACGTGGCCTCCCTTCTCTGGCCATTATGACGTCATAACTCGGAGCGCTACTTCCTTAGCTTCTAGGAGGTCTTGGCTCGATACCCCTCCTCTAGATCACGGCCACCCAAGCCAGGATCAGGGACGTCATGAAGGAGGATATTTCTTGCTTGTTTTTTGTCGATTTAATTTGCCTATAACTTTTGAAATAAAGCGAAATTCGAGAAAAGAAAAGTTTAACTGAGTTACCTTGATCAGTGCACTCAGGTTCGGTGCAAATTCAGTCAGTAATAAAGTCGCTGCAGGGCCCCTTTAAGAGTTTCTTTAGAGCACAGTGCAAGATGGTTGCCGCTACCCTCTGAGGCTTCCAGATAGCCATTCCCCTCGCGGGAACATGTCCAATTCAGCGTCTATCCACTTATATATGATGTCGGATGGTAAGCGTGAACGAGTAACACTCAATCGAGGAACCATCTCCAGGAGCTTTCAAGAGGTTCACTGCACTGAAGAAGCAGAACCCCAAGTTAAAGACCTTGATCGCCATCGGCGGCTGGAACGAAGGATCGGTCAAGTACTCGGCCATGGCCATGTGCCGGTCAACCCGCAAGACATTCATAGACAGCGTGGTAGACTTCTGCAAGAAGTACGACTTCGACGGCCTTGACATGGACTGGGAGTACCCGGGCTCCAGGGGAGGTGTCGATGCCGACAAGGCCAACTTCGTCGAGCTGCTAAAGGTAGTGTTCCTTAAGATAACACTCCTTAGTGTTGGCGCTCCGTGAAGCATAGACACAAAACGTTTACACAAGCTTGATTATGCTGACTATACTGACGATGACCAAGGAGCACAGAATGTGTCTCGTACAAACCACAAACACTTTCTTTTAAATATATTTGCTTTGTCCTTTGTTATTCTCACTCTCTCCCTCTTTATACATATAATTGTTTATTTTATGTAGTTATTTTTATTACCATCTCCCCATCCTTCTTTCCTCCTTTCATTCTCCCAATCCATCCCCTCACCTCCTTACGATGCCCCTCCCCCTCACTCCCTTTCCCTGCTCCCCCCTTCCCCCACTCAAAGAGTGCTGCTATCCGGCTTTCCCCACAAAATTTAGGGGGAAGGAGGGACTGGTGCAAAGGTTATGAGACCTCATAAACACGTGACGTCAATTTCCCAGCTAAATTTAGCGGGGAGATTGAGCTGGTGTATAGGTCACGTGGAGCCAATTTGTCGGCCAAAATTAGCTGAGAAACTGAAGGTCACGTGACGTAAATCTTCCTGCTATAGTTTGCGGGAGACTGGCGGTATATACACGTTTGCAAGTACGGCCTGAGGGCCCCACCATCTTGCTCATTGGGGAGCTTTTGGGCGCGTTTCAATCCGCGCCCAAGCGCACACCAGCTGAGTAAGATGGCGGCGTCCTGAGGCCGTCTTTGCAAATATGTATAGACATTTGCAAGTCCGGTCTCAGGGCGCCGCCATCTTGCTTGTTAAGGTGCGCCTGGGCGCGGCCATAATCCATTTACGACACCTTAGCAAGGCTTCGTAATCGGATTATGACGCGTCCAAGCACACCCCAGCCGCGCAAGATGGCGGCGCCCTGAAGCTGCACTTGGCAAGTCCGGCTTCCTTGAATTTCGCATGTGTAAAATTTTAAGGTAGGAAAAAGGGAAGGAAGGGGTGTTTTTATCAAACTTTCGATGCCAAATTTCATGGGAAAACTGAAAATGCGTATGCGGAGAGAAATTCGTCTGCTTGTTGCGCAGGAATTGCGGTGACGCCAGAACGACGCCGAGCTCTCATTGGCTGTGATCGAAGGATAGTGGGTAGACCTCAAAGCGAGCTGCCTTGAGGTCTATCCACTATCCTTTAACCAAGGCGAATCAGAGCTTGGCGTCTTTCTTACGTCATCATTACTCCTGCGAAAGAAGCAGACGACCTTGCCCACCGTATAGGTTTTGTGACGTCACTTGTAACACTTCTTGAGGACGTTCGCTTATGGAAGACTACCCATAAAGTACACTTTGTGAAAAAACTACCAAAAGTAAAAGTACGAACGTGTTTCTTTTACTTCAAGTACTCCAGGCAGCTATACCAGACATGTAATGTCGAAGTAAACGGTATACTACACATTCGATGTAACTGCTGTTGCTTATGGACACAGAAATAAAACGATGATGATGATAATGGGGATAAGAAAAAATGCTACTTGGCAGGAGCTGAGTGAAGAGTTCAAGCCGTACGGGCTCCTCCTCACGGCGGCGGTGGCGGCAGGAAAACACTTCATGGACAAGGCGTACGACGTGCCTCAGGTATCAAGGTGAGCACGGACCTTAGCGCTGTCGTACAGAGTGTGCTGGTATCAACACGGATACGTTTAGGTCATATATATATATATCTGTTTTTAGATACTAATAAACCACACACACACATACACACACACACACACACACACGAAAAGTGCGATGCTTTACAATATATTTTGGTAGGGACGAAATGATGCAATAATGACATCAAGTTTGCAACGGCCACCACAGAAATCACAATTCCCCCGCAATCACGGATGAGGAAATAATGTTAAGCTTGGCGAATAAAAATAAATACATTGACATGAAAAAAACTAAAATGAGTGCTCTCGACGAAGCTATTGGAGCCTAGGCCACCAAGCAGGTCGATTCCTTGTAGAAGCGAACAACTGAAGCGGTTCTGTAATAGAGGAAAAACACTTTAATCGTCTTCATTTGGCCTCCAAGATCACGAATATTATTTTTTATTTAATTTGGACGGTGTCCGACTAAAGCAAACGGTGCCGAAACTTACCCGAGACCATGTGCCTTGAACAAACTATAGGTACTTGTCGATGTTTTTGTAGAGTTCTTTTGGGTCGATGTGCTCAAGCCGTTCGCGTGACCTCTCACGGAGACCGACTGCGTGTTTTTTTACCACTCGTGTGTTCAAAGCAGGGGTTTCCAAAGGAATAGAAATTAGCCCCCCCCCCCCCCTTAATTTCTATTCCTGGGGATAGAAATTAGGGGGGAAGGCCTAATTTCTATATCCAGGAATAGAACTCATTTCTAACTAAATTTTCAGAGGGAGGTTTGGGGGGGGGGGGGGGCATTGAAAATAGAGGAGTCGTTGCGAATTTAGGAGTTGGCTGCAGAAAAACATGGGGGGGGGGGGGGGAGAAGAACAAACAACCGTTCAGAAACGTCACTTTTTTTTTCAAGTAAATAAATAGATGGTGCGCTAATGCAATTGTCATCTGTGTTTTTAACAAAAAAAAAAAAAAAAAAAACACCGCGATAATTTTTTTCGGTTTTATATTTTGCTTTTTGTTTCGAACTTTGTTGATTCCAAGCTAGGCTTATAGCCACGTCGCCTACAGTAGTCAGCAAAATGCCCCCCCCCCCCCCCCCCCCACACACACACACACCTGCCCTGCTGCTCACACACTTTTCTTGAGGAGGCATCCTGTTTTTTTTTTTTCCTTCACACGCAGGTACCTGGATCTCCTCCACGTGATGACGTACGACTTCCACGGAACTTGGGAGAAGAAGACGGGCCACCACACACCCCTGTACTCTCGACCCGAAGAGCCGGCGGCCGAATACATCCTCAACCTGGTAAGTCGGCTCTCCCGTCGCCTCTGCAAGGCGCGCAACGATCGCATTAGTGCTAACCACAGAGGAAATGTCTGACCTTTTCCGCACATATATCTTGACTCGTCAACGTTTATTGGGGGTCACGGGGTCAAATGATTCTTTCGCCAGTCGAAAAATGTTCGTGCACTACACTTTAGGTGCGTGATCTGATTTCATGTCAATTTATGAAATATCGCGTAATATATATACAGTATGTATACAACGTGCATAGAGTCCGACCTTCGTCAGGAAGAATATATATATACAGGGTGTCACAAAAGAAAATTTACACGGTATTTTTTACCGCAAAAATAAACTAGGCATCGCCGAACGCTCATTCTCCGCCCAAAGGGTCACAACCAGATGCCAAAGTTTCAGCCCGATCCGATAACTCAATAACGAGTTATAAGTGATTTCCTGAAAATTTCAATTGAAAAATGGAGCCCATTTTCGCCCGTTTTCGGTTTCTGGTGCCATAGAGCCCCATGTGTTTGAAAACTCCGTCGGCCACCATTTTCCCATTGAAATTTTCAGAAAATCACTTATAACTTTTGATTAAGTTATCGGATCGGGCTGAAACTTTGGCATCTGGTTGTGACCTCTGGCGCTACCTTTGGGCAGAGAATGAGCGTTCGGCGATGAGTAGTTTATTTTTGCGGTAAAAAAGACCGTGTAAATTTTCTTTTGTGACACCCTGTACACATGTTAGCACTGCTGATAGGAATATTCACTTATGTATCAGTCCGGTAGTTAGTTTCTAGATAATTCTAAAAATAGTAGGCTGATAATCTCTAATATTTTAGATGACAATCGGAGCACCGGAAATATTGTCAGTCAAGCTAAGGTAAACGCGCACATTCACAAGAAAAAATTAAAGAAAAAATTAATTGACGTTGAGTAACGCGCAATTAAGTTGTCACGGGAGAGTGATCTTGTCCAAAAGCTGCTCACCACGTCGCTTGTCTAGATTTTTTAGAATGAGCCACGTGTCTAATATATGTTTCCTTCTTAGTTTCCTCGCATGTATAAATGTACCTGGGCAAACAGCATCGTCCTAAAAGGAAAATAAAAGAAATAAGAAAAACTGGAGCGAGATGGCTAAAATAGGATGACGATGGACTTATGGAGCTTCGAAGTCACGCATTCTGGTTGTTTCCTCGCAGAACTTCTCGGTGCACTACTGGATCTCCCAAGGAGCTGCTCGGGAGAAGATGGTGCTGGGCATGGGCCTGTACGGGAGAGCCTTCACGCTGCAGAGAGCGGAGGACCACTACCCGGGAGCCCCGGCCCCGGAGCCGGGCACGGCTGGACCCTTCACCCGAGAACCGGGGTCTCTCGGATACAACGAGGTAACAAGTCTTCACCGGGCGTACGCACCGCATTGCAGTGATAAATATATAAAATGGGTAACAATGGCATAGGTAAGGGAGTAAAATATAATTTCATTTAATTAACAGGTACACGTCTTGTACTCTGTCCCTTGCTGTTGAGAGATGGAACAATAAGCAATGGACACGCATACGCGCGAGCGCAATCGGAAGCCTTTTTGGTGTAGCCTAGTTGTCACCACATGTAACCAAATTATGTTTATAGTAAACAAAACATGGGGAGGGGAGGGGAGGTGACAGAAGTGGGTTCGAACCATTCTGATATCAATAGGGGTTTGAACTCCGAAGCCCTCACAGCCCTCCCGTGGAACATCAGAGTGCATCTGAACACAAACGGATAAAAGATTTCATTTGAAGAATCGTAATAAAGATAGAAAAAAAAGGGGGGGGGGGGTTTGGAGTCGTTATATACAACTCCAAAAAGATACACAAACTAATTTTGGTGCTATCACCGACGTAATGTCGTCCACCTTTTTCTTGTCACGAGCTGTCTGGAGCCTGCTGAAGGCGAGTATTCTGAAGATTCACGCGACGCCCTCAACTTGGCAGTGCACAAAAGCTAACAAGTCTCATCGCGCCTCTTTTTCTTTTCTTCGTCTTCCGTCCAATGAAAATTTTCTCACTCACCCACTTTAACAACAAAATGGCGAATGGACCGTTCGCACTAAGCGTTCTGCGCATGCGTGACGCCGCCATAACTTTAGTTCGCAGGAGGCAGACGGCCGTGCGTGCGAGGGCTCGGGCTGTCTCGTGCTCCACGCGCGCAGAGCTTCAGCATGGTTGTCGCACGTGCGGAACGACCAAAGTATACCTCGATGAATTGCGGCAGCGGTGGCGTAGTCAAACTGGCTGGTGAGATCGGTCTGTTGACATCATGAGGGCGATGTAGCGCATGCTGGGAGCGAGGTCAGATTGATAGGCTGCTAAGATCAGCAATCTTGATGACATGCGGAATGCGCGTTGCAGAGGAGCTGTGGTATACCTCGCCGCCAGCACGCGCTCAGTGAATACCAGACTAGAGATTCTGCAAGGCAGACGATCCTCCTCACCATAAGGGAGGAGAAAAGAGGTAAGGGTGCACAGGTAAGAAGGGGGGAGAAGAGGAAGTGAGGGAAAAGTGGAAAGCGCGAACTGGTCGTCGGTCTTCAAGAAGCGCGTGCTAGCCCGTGCTCCTGGCTTTGAGACGTGCATTTCTAGCGTGAGTGCTCGTTCTGCGGAAGATACGCTTCAAAGCAGCGAGATCGAGCGCTCGTGCTTGTTGCATTGGTTTCAGTCTCGGCTTAAATTAAGGATTAACGGAAGCAGGGCATCTAGCCACCGCCATGTCCCTTCAAGTGCGGGCAGGCCCATGCAACTGCAAGCTTTCCAGGGCCACGTTCACGCGTGCACGAGGCACCAGTCGGGGCGCCAAGCTTGGAACCAAGAAGCTCTTTGGAGTGGCAGTAATTCTTGTAACTGAACCGCACCAAGCGATTTTACCCACAGCAACTGGACCTACCCAAAGGGAAGGTGTCGCCGGCCACCCGGCGACTAGCCAAGAATTAAACGCAATCTTGCCTTCTCACCGTCATGAATCGTGGTTTAATCAATTATGCGTCACATGCACATTCTTACATAGTTCGTGAGGACGTGATGGCAGTGTCGCATAACCTCAACAGAAAGAAACAAAGTGTGAAAGACAACGTAGATTGGAAGGGGCGGCAGAGTCACCCTGCGGAAATCAAGAAAGAAAACTATGAATTGCAGCCATTTTGCTTTCCATTGCTCTGCATGGTCCATATAGCTGTACGTGTACAAAACTGTACACTTCCTGTTATCATCACTTTGTACTTTCCTTGTCAGACATATCTTGCTCAGTCTTGTTTTATCATTTTGAATTTGCTAAAGTGTGATATTCATGTTGCGCCCAACATTTGCGCGTCTTGCAAACAGATCTGCGAGGCCTTCAAACGGCAAAGCTGGACCGTCGTGAGGGATCCCTTCTACATGGCACCCTACGCCTACCACGATCGACAGTGGGTGGGCTACGATGACATAGAAAGCATCGCTACCAAGGTAACTATCACCTAAATAAAGAACATATATCATCATCGTGCTAACAGGCCAATTTCCTCTTTCCTTACGGAGCATACTAATAAAACAGACCGCTTGGGTCACCTACGGCCGAATTCTTGTACACAGGGTGCATTATAATTTATAACTCATAAGAAAACTTGCAACTGACTTCAGTGCGACCGTGTCCATACCGAAACTAGCAAACTGCATGCTTCATTACCTGACCCTGACGCACTTCCCTGTCTTTTGTGTCGCTTTTTGTGCCAGTCTTTTCCCTTCCTTCCACACATCATTGTCGACTTTGAAAACGGCTCTTTTGTTCCTAATTAACTTAGTGACCAAACGGCTCGTGAACAAAATAATGCGAATACTACGGGTAAAAGCGTGGCGAACGAGATAAAGGTATCGACATCTATGCATCTTCCTGTCCCCGTTTGGTGCGGATGTACAATACCAGAACCCGACCAGAGTTTTCCCTATATTGGTGTTACATCCGACAATCCGGAACGAGTGGACATTCTAACCCTGCTTTAACTCCCACAGGTGGACTTTGCCAAGGCCCTGGGGCTTGCCGGCGGCATGGTCTGGTCCATAGAAACTGACGACTTCCAGGGCACATGTCACGGCATTAAGTACCCCATGCTAAGCGCCATCAATCAGGCGTTCGCCCTGGGAGGATCGGGAGTCATCGCCACTCCGCCGCCTATGCCACCGACAGTTCCCACCACCGCGACGCCAGTGACCGAGAAGACCTGTTTGTCTATGCTAGATCGCAAACTCAACAATAAAGTTAACTCAATCGGTCGCTGATTGGCTGCCCTTTTGGTCACGTGATGTGACGTTGCGATTGAGTTTTTCCCTACGGATTCCGATGGAGTTCGAGCTATGCTGGTTTTCTTGAAAAAAAAATGAAAAAAAGAAATAAGTACTCGAGAAATGTTTCGATGGTTTATCCTAGGCCAAGTATGAATTTGTTTTTTTCTGTTGCCCTTGCTAACGTATTTATTAACAGCATTTTAAGTGTGGGCCTTAGGAAATAAACTAAGTGTTATGCGAACCTTTCTTTAGGACATATTCAGAATAGGAGATAAGTGACAAAGTGTGTTTCGGTGTCTCTCCGCAGCGGGGAGCCAGTCACGTCGCTTTCCTCTCATGGTTGTCTGCCGCTCCACCTTTTCCATTTCGGCGGCCGCTTCTCCTGGCCATCTGCCAAGCTTTGTAAGTGTATAGGAGGGGGCGTATATGGCTCCTAGCTTCTTTTGCGACCAGACGGAAGGTGAAACGGAAGATGGCGTCACATTCTCAGTGGTATTCAGCTTTCTACGATCGGTAGTTTATTTACGTGGGACAAAAACACGGTTTTCTCTTCTTTAAACACCCTCAGTTCCGAACATACACTCTCTGCAGTAGGGGGTGTACAGGGGCACACCCCTTGTCCCATATGTTACGTAACACCCCAAACGTACATTTCGACGTTCCGTCCGCTGACGTCGAGCGGACGATGCCAACGTTTACGAGCAGCTTGATAGTCGAGCGATACGATTTATTAAAATAGCTAATGTACTCATTAAAGGCTACTGTAACACTATGAAGGTTTTTTCGGCCCTACTGCAAAGCATCACGATTTTTTTTTTGTAGTCTTTGATAGGCATATTAGCTATTTAGTATGTTATATCCAACATCTATCAAGCTGCTCGTAAAAGTTGGTATCGCCAGCTCGACGTCAGTGGACAGAACGACGAAATATAGTTTTGGTGTGCTTCATAGGGGACAAGGGGTGTATCCCTGTACACTCCGTATTTGTGAGAGTGTACGGACGAAGGAGTTCACGAGAAAAGAGAACTTTGTTCTTGTTTTGGCGGGGGTAAATAAACTATGCATCGCAGAAAGTTTGAACTCTGTGAGGATGTGACTCTAGCGGTTACGATAGAGTGCGAAAGTTCGAGAGCATGACGTTACCTGAACCAGAAGATAATTGAGAAACAAAAATTTCTTTGTGAGCCGTCTTACAACTAAGCCTAGTATCTCCGAAACAATAAATGGCATTATGGAAGCTTGTGGGATTTATATCAATCAAGGACACTTGTCTTCGAGAAATAGAATATTGGTTTCTTTCCGTCTGCCAAGCTGTTTGTACTGAAATGGAGGCTAAAGGCGTGCACATTGTCATTTATTGCTTTGAAGATATTAGGCTTACGTGAACGTGGACTCATAAAGATTTTTTTTTTTTCAATTATATTTTGATTCGGGTTGCGTCGTGTTCCCAAACGTTCGCGTTTTGTCCTAACCGCTAGCTTCGCATTCTTATGGAATGCATGGTTTATGCGATGGATAGTTTATTTACCCGTTCCAAAAAACGCAATTCTCTTTTCCTGGGAATTCCCGGCGTATGTCACGCAGACTGCTGCACCATGCAAGGTTCATGAAACTCTCGAAAATAACCAAAAAACTTACCAGGATTCTCAGGCGATTTTTTGGAGGTTCCTCGGTCCCGCCGGCGATGGGAAGCAGAAGCGTCGGCAGAGTAGTGCATCGAAGGCGTCTGTGGTCGCCGCTGGCAAATGCGGACGCCTCGAAATGTTCGGCACCGAAACGGGGAGTCGAGTTCGGGCCCTCGGTGCCCTTATCTCGCCCGGCAACACGTAACCATTCGCGTCTTTGTGGATACCTCTCCGGCAGAGGGAAAAACCGTTGACTTTTTCGTAGATATTTTCTTTTCCGATTCGGGCACAACTTTACCACAAAAACGTTCGGCATCACACGGAAGAGAACACGTATAAACGTTTTAACACGTGGTGTCGATGGATCGGTAAACCTTGCTTTGAGAGCGAGATGAAGTGGGAGCCTGAGGAAGAACCTTGTTCCTTATCGTTCTCGCAGCGAGATAAGCCGCGAGTGAGGCGCTTCCCACGAAGAAACCGGGTGGGCACATCACTCCCTCGTAACAAAGCAAAGAGAAAACGTAGTTTGCTCGTTTT